GGAAGCCCTGCAGCGCTGCTCCTTTTAGTCCTGGAAAGCTGTGATCTCCTGCTCCCTTTTTTTTTTTTTTTAAAGCCGTGACACACACGCACATCCTGCATACGCATAGAAAGCATTGAAGAGTGGTACATTACAGCAAAATAAAAAGTGAGTAATAGCAGCACAAACACAGAACAAACCCCCCCCGGAGCTCAGAGCAGAGCCCAGCTATGTAACTCTGATATATGGGTGCAGCACTGATCTGTGAATCTAGGCTACTGCACTGCGAATAATGCAGAGAGGAGAAGGGCAATGATCGCAGTCCACCGTCTTTCCTGTCTTCTTCTTCTCTTCCTGTATAACTGCCATACTCTGCGTCTTCCCAGCGTAGCTCACCATGTGACTAAGCATGACTTGTGCACGGTGGGTGATGCAGAGTCACAGTGGACCAGAGCGTGAAATCGCTTTATTTAACATTGGGAGTCCGAGCAATGTGGACCGGACACAACACTCCTGTTTCTTTAGAAAAGATCGTTTTAACCTTTTGTTCATTGCTGCTCTAACAACGTCACTGTCTGCAAAAATGAATTTCAAATCCAGTGGGTGGGCTTCGTGCTCCGATTGTTTCCCGTTGCTTTTATTCCAGGAAGAAGGGGAAATAAGCGAGATAAACAAATGACAAAAAGCAGCCTGGGGATTAAAATGACGTCACAAACTAAACCAGCAGAATATCTCCGGGCACTAACACCTGTTTGTTGTCGGAGCAGTAACCTGAGCAGATTAATATAGACGGCAGCGGTTTTACAACAGAGATGACAAAGCATCAGCGCTGAGCTCCGGCAGCTGTGACACACTTGTCAGGATTAGTTCCACGTCTCCGGCTTACCTGTGGCTGCAGTGCACACACACGCAGCGACTCGAACTCTCATTTCTGCAAACTCACCTCCTCGAAGCACCAGCACGTTGACCTCGCTGCCCACGGGCAGGTCTTTGAGGATGTCCACCACCTGGGAGTGGGTCAGCGTCTGGACGTTCTGTCTGTTGATCTCCTTGATGACGTCGCCCTTCAACAAGCCGCGGCACCACTGGGCGTCCAGGATCATCTTCACCTTTTGGCCTAGCGGGCAGTCGGCGATGGCGAAGCCGAAACCTCCGGGGCCTTTCACCAGCGGCACGCTCACCAGCTCCGGCTGTAGCATAGTGGGGTCAGGGCCGTCTTGATTAGGGAGGTGGTGGTGGTGTTGGTGGGGATGAGCGTGGTGGTGGTGGTGGCGGCCTCCGTTGGTCATGGGTGCCACCGCGGCAGTCTGCCTGGACAGGGTTCCCCCGTCTGGGACTGTGTAGTGAGGGTCCTGTGGCGTGGAGGGGGACGGGGACGCGTCCTTGGAGGCGCAGAGGCCTCCCGAGGCGTCGTCACTGTTGCTGGAGTCCTCGGGCAGCGGGTAGCCTCGGCACAGGACCATGTCCACATACTGGTTGATGGGGATGGACTGGAACATCTGCACCACATCAGCATGAGTCTTCCCCAGCACACACGACCCATTGATGTCCACGATCACGTCACCTGAGTCGAGAACAAAGAGCTCTGTGAACAATGTGGGAGCGGTGAACATTTACAGTATGAATAAATAATAGTTATTTAGCCGGATTGAAGAAGTAAAAGTAAGTCTGCTGAGACTGACTCGGGATCGGTCATGAGAATATATCGTCAGGACCTTGCAAGATGGCTGCACCAGTACCCGGGATATTCTATCTTCATTTTGGTCTCTTCAGGAGGAAGTGGAGACGTCTCATCCATCTTTTTACGCAGTCTATGGTATAGAGGTTAATGGCGATGGAGAGACCACAGGGGACAGAGACGTGCTTCCTCATTTCATGTGCTTGTGGAGGGGGGCGGAGACTCCCATCACCTCTGGCCTGCACGGTCGACTGAACTGCTGACTGGCTTGTTGGCTGCGATTCAGAAGCCCACCTACACAATCGATACCCTCTCAGAGCAAACACAGCGAAGGTTTCACTTCTTGAAATGAGCTCCGTACCTTCATGGTCCGACCCACTGCACCTCGCTCTAATGACCAGCAACCAAGTCTCCACGAGACGACAGAGGTGCGGTGGACAGAGGGTTTAGCTGATCAGAAGTCAGTAAGTCTTCAAGACACAGCTAAATAAAATAGTTACAGTCCACTGCTTGCAAATTATAACCCGATGAAATTAATTACAATTCATTTCTCTGGTTAAATCAATGACTCTGCCTCTCGAGGGAAATGAAATATTGAAAATAATTACTCTCTCAGATCCACTTTCATGTGGGTGCTCAGCAGCAGCAGCTCTGGTGCAGCTGTAAGAGACTTGCAATCAATATTACTGTAATGTGAAGCCCGAGGCACTTCACTAACAGCAAATTCCAATTCACACAAATCCTTATTCATGTGATCACAGTATTAATATGTAAAGTTAAAAGGGAGTTTACACAGCTAACATGTCGGTGGTACCACGGCAGCTCTACTTCGGAGCTGCATGTAGCGTCAAACATGTGGGTGTCAAACATAAACGGAACATGTGCTTTACTGACACAAGTTTCCTTTTTTTAGAACCCTTTGTTTTTGCTTGATCAAGCAATGTGACATTCACAGGGAAACGCCTGCTCTGTGATTGTGTTTGCTTGTGTGTACTCAGGGTACATAAAACTGCATTATGTATAGTACGCACGCCGATGCCAAACCACAGTGTCACTTTGTGCATCGGTACACACGACACGCTCACAGCGCACTTGTGAATGTGACACTGGATTATGTTTTGTTTGATGACACTAATAATAAAAGCCTGTTTGATTCTCCTCCACTCCTCTGTCTCGCAGTTCCACCTTGTATGACTTTGCCCCGAGGTCACGTACAGAGGGATGGACTCTAACCGCTAAGGCCTGAGAGTATAATCCAGATACTGGAGAGCACTTTGATGAACATTAGGTCTGCAGGGGGGGGGGGGATTACCTGAGGCGATCCTGTTGTCGTGTGCAGCCGGCCCATCAGGAAGGACGTTTTTGACCTGAAGGAACTCATCGGGTCGGTCTCCTCCGATGATTGTGAACCCGAAGCCCTGTGGGCTTTTTCTCAGCGCTGTCTGCAGGATAGAACCCTGGAGCTGAGATGGATCTCGCGTGAAGCCCCGCACTCCTCTAACAGGCTCTTCTGCTGTGGGGATGATGAGGGGGAAAAGAGGAAGTTTGACAAAAAGTAATGGAAAAATAAACGGATCCTATTTTTACCTGTTTTGCAGAAGGACACATATTCTTTACTCAAGTAGAAGTACATATATTTTAAGTTTAAAAGAGTAAAGAATGAAAGGACAGGCTCGGAAATGTACTCAAAGTAAAAAGTTCCCCTCCGAAGGTCATTTCTACCGGCTGTCAAACGTCAATGAACATAAAAAACAATTAACTAAAAACAGGTTAAAGCCGGTGGGGCATGAAAAATGATCCAAAATGTGTGAGAAAAGTTCAGACACTGACAATGTAGGGAATAAAAGTAAAAGAAAATATTATTACTCAAATAAAGTACAAATTCCTGAAAAATCTGTGTTTGAAAACATACATTTCTATTGTCTTTCTGTCTTTTGTTGCATATATTTATCATTCACTGCTATTTTTTTGGAGTTGTGTTTCTTGCTCTGGGAAAATTGCTAAACAAACTCTGCTTACTTATTAAACTTGAAGTCAGGGGCATTAACTCCACAGATGAGATTTTAAAGTTCACAGGTTGACGTGTGCTGCAGAGCTCCAGAAACGAAAGGGAAACGGAAAAAGCTCGCTTGTAAATTACCATCTGTCTCCATCAAAACAACACTCGCACGTTGACGTGTTTCAACAGTGCATCACTCACTGCTGGTAATTACACAAGCATTAATAAATTGGAATTTAAAGTGCAAACTGAAATAAATCACACATGCATGTAGACACAGACAGACACACACACACACACACACACACACACAGAGATCCTGCTGCTCCGCTTGCAAAGCCAATAAACATCGAGTTATTACAAAGCGTCTGCATTCTGCTCCACTTTCATCCCAAACGATGAATAACTGCAGCGATAAATCCGTCCTGAAATGCACCTGACATTTTCAAGGTAAACGTTTCATTGCATATTTCCGTTTTTTCTTTTTTTGGCGCCTGCAGGAAGTGTAAATGGGGCAACTTCATAGAAGACGGCAAAGGAGGCAGAGGGAGAGAGAGAGAGAGAGAGAGAGAGAGAGAGAGAGAGAGAGAGAGAGAGAGAGATAAGAGCGATGAGACAGAGAGAAATAGAGTTCGATTTGACAGAGAGAGGGAAATTCTAACTGAATCCCGACTCTCCCCTGTTCCCCCCGCGGTGTGAGTCGATGAGACTGTGAGTTATGTGCAGGGTCCCTTCATGCTTCTTCCCCGACAGTTCCCACACTGATACACGGTGGGACATCAATCTCATTAGGGAAGGTAC